GGCATGTGTAATGTGCAGTGTAGGAGTAAACTCAATTACAAATCAGTGGCAACATTTAATATCAGCTGATACGGACCATGCACACTGGGAAAATCTGATAGAGTTGTCCTCTTATTGAGATTAAACATCATGAGGTAAATACTCACCTACATCTGTCTAGAAACACGATAATAGTGTGGTACAAATTATTTTCGGTTTATCTTTAAAATAAAAACTACATAATGTTGGTTCTTCTTACCATTGCTAACTCTGAGAGACGAGACAGTCCAAGTAACTTCAAAACAGTGCTGATTTATTCAAAGGATCACAGGTAAAATTAACATTACACGCTCAGGTATCTTGCACCTCCAAACTGCTCACAGGCAGATGTAAGATGAAAGACCCTGAACCCACCAGGCCTATACATTATATCCCCTCGGTTGGGCTAGCCCCATACTACACAGAAACGTCAACCGAGACGTCTCTGTTACCAGCTTTGCAGCTGGTCATAGCAGTAGTCAAAACATGAAGCAAATCAATGTGTGTGTGTATGTGTGTTCTGTTGATTAAGTGGTCTAGTACATGTCGTGACTTAAACATAAGAACATATTATGGCTAAGGCTACAGTTCTACACGTCATAATAATAATATTAAACACCCTGTCTGCTGACAGTCATCAACTCTTCTCTCTAGTTATCCTTGACCAGATGTACCCTGTAGAAACTCATAAGCATGACTAAGCATTTAACAGTCTAACTAGACATCCTATCTCCACTAAACATTTCTAATACATAAAGTACTATCCAATATCTATCTGACTAAAAATACCTAACAATAAAAAGTAGGCCGATTTTAAACGGAATTTACTAAATGGGTGGCACAAAACTAAATATTTTAAAGTAGTAAGAATATAAACATTAGATGTTTAATTACTGAACTAAACATGGAATCAGTGACCATCAATATGGACCCTAGTGCAAACAAGCGCACTCAGTTTATTTACTTAAGTAAAAGCAGCAACACCACAGTGTAAAAACACTCTTAAACTGGTGTAAGTAAAGGTTCCCCATTTAAATAAAAAAAGGGGGGGCGTGCTCATTTTGTCATTTTGCAGAATGGGACATTTCACATTAAAGTATATCATATCGTAGAATTATAATTATTGATGCATTATTATGCTGTAGCTGGTGGAGCTAATATTAAATCCTTTATACCTTTATCAGCTTGTGAATTTCCCACCAGGCATCAAAGTTTTAGGATTATGCTGCATTGTTTTCTGAAAAAAAACAACCTAATAACTAAAGATATCAAATAAAGAAATGGAGTAAAATACACACTATTTGCCCCTAAAATGCAGCCCTGGAGTCTAAAGCAACGGAAAAGGAAAATAATCAGGTACACTACAGATAACTCAAAACTGTACTTAAGTAGGCGATACAGTACAGTGAGTAAATGGACATAGTTTCTTTCCACCACTTATTCCAGCTGTGAGAACCAGCTGCAGTTGGGCTGATAATAGGGGTCATTATATTCATGTTTCATCAATGTGCAGAAAGGCAACTGATATTCATTTCCATCCACGTGTACAGATTTCTGTGACAGCGATGAGGACAGCGACGATGAAAGCAAAGATGGACATAAAGATGGTCCGGACAGCAAGATTTCCACGACCACTGAGGACGGGAAAGATCATGAGGCGAGCCCAGCTAAGGGGCACGCCTTCATTAACAGTGACTCTACCAGCAGGATCCGCGACAGCGACCCCAGGACTGAGAAAAGCCAGGCAGACTCACGACAGAGCCCCATCACTGTAATCTCCAGTACCACCCGTTCTGCAGAGGACCTGAAGAGCCCGAGCCTGGACCAGCCCAAAACGGACGAGTGTAGGTCAATAAGCAAGGACACCTTCGTGCCTTTGACTGTTCAGACTGACAGCGCGCACATAGGCCACAGCCACCTGCATAATTTTGGATTTCCAACAGGTTTAACAGGACAACAGTTTTTCAATCACTTAGGGGCCGCGCACCCGTTTCTCTTGCACCCCAGTCAGTTCAACATGGGAGGTGCATTCTCAAACATGGGCATGGGGCCACTACTGGCAGCTGTGTCCACGGGAAGGGTGAACACCATGGACACGACAAGCATGGCATCACCGCCGCAAAGCTTGACGGGAGCGCCAGGTCTACCCTTTCATCTGCAACAACATGTCTTGGCATCACAGGTAAAACCAGTTTTCTTGGGGTTACGCCTACTGGCAGCCTTGTGCACTACTGACTATAGATAGGCCTTAGAGTCACATAGAATCAGGTGTACATAGATACGCCATTCCACAATGCATCTCCGTGGGTGTTGTTTTAACCAAGTGTGTGCACGTGTTTGCGCTAATGCATTTTTCTGGGTGTTGAGAGTAAAGTTGCAGGCGACTACACTTTAACTAACCAGGCAATAAGAGAACGCGTTTTATTACTTTCCTCTGTCATTTCTGAAAGAAATCAGACAGAGAGAGCCGCCAAGGTGTTGGATTAGAAGTTCATCCAGCCTGTGTCTTAGTGCCACGGTGGAGAGTATTAAAATGTGTCATTGGCTCAGAGATGGAAACATTGTTTTTGTCGACAACGAATCGCTCTTTACCCATTTGTTATCAAAACAAGCGTTAAAGCTGCAACTTCTCCTGCTTGGTTACAGCATCAGACATTAGGAATGTCGATGTGCATTACAGATCCTTAAACACGCACCAAAGCTTGTGAATTTGTGAAGCACGTGTATGAATGGAAACTCTGAACACAGACTGTCTCTACTCCATCACACTTTCGCTCTGGGCCAAATAGGGTTGTTTTTTTTTTGTCCATAAGCGTCAATGCCATTAACTTTGTAACGATGTCGAAGCATTTTAAGCATTATTTCAGGCATTTCTTCTAAGAGTTGAATTGTTTGTGTGTTTGAACTGTGATAAAGTAGGTATTAGCAGTCTATCACACCAGCCTGTGGCTCACATTCAGTTTCTTAATTTCCCCACAGGGCATTGCCATGTCTCCGTTTGGTAATTTGTTCTCCTACCCCTACAATTACATGGCAGCAGCTGCGGCAGCTTCGTCCGCTGCTTCCTCTTCGGTGCATCGGCACCCTTTCCTGAACGCAGTGCGCCCCCGACTCAGGTACAGCCCTTACTCCCTCCCCATGGCGGTACCGGACAGCACGTTGCTCACCACCGCCATGTCCTCCATGACCGGCAGTGCCAGCGAGCTAAAGGGGGACAGCATTGTACCGGCCAGCCCCGTTCCTGCAGCCACCCTGGATTCCACATCTGAGGTGACCAGTCACTCGTCCACCATGTCCTCCGGCTCGGTCTCCATGTCCCCAAAAACTTGTGCGGAGAAAGACACCGCCAACGAGCTGCAGAGCATCCAGCGCCTGGTCAGTGGACTCCACTCAAATCAGGACAGGCCACGGAGCGGGTCCCCCTAGGAATCTTTTTTAAACACTCCGCCTGCTTCTCGTTCATGATAAGGGAAAAGTGTTGACAGGGATGAAGACATTAACAACAGGAAGGACACCCTGGCAGATTTATGGAGGCTAAAAAAAAACGGAACTGTTGAACATTTTAGTTTCTGAAATGCACTTTGGTTAATACACATCTGCTATATATATTTTCCATTCTTCCTTCTTTGGTTAAATTAAAGTTATCCTGTTATTTGAATACCGTACAAGTATTGAAACTGAAAAGTTGGCATGGGTGTGACTTACAGATTTGCTGCTGTGTCCCGTCTCCTAATTTCATTGTACACGGAAGACATTTGTTTAAATATGCACTCTGAATCGATTTGACTTATTTAAATTCACTACCGTTAACCTGCCTTTTAAAGACTGCTGTATTTGTTGCACACCATGAATTAATTGGCCAAATGTTGCATGACCCTTAAATACCTAAAGGTGTTATTTTAATACTAAGAATATTAACCAAAATATGGAAAAATGTTGTTTTGAATAGAATTAAACACACTCCTTTTGCCAAAGTTTCTTCTTAATTAGGTTATTCATTTCAAAACAAGTTGGTTTTTTTCTTCACATCTTGTAAAAATCAGAACAGGCCCATTGACACGACTGGTGCTCCGGGACCAAACCACGGCCCAAGGCGGAATTTAGTCCAGATGTCAAACTGGCAAAAGGAAACTGAAATTTACGGTAAATGTTAAAACAAAAAAATGAAAGGTGGTATTGATTATAGGTGTACATATGGATATATAAAATATTTATGTAATTATTTCATATTATTGCGTGTAAATACAACGGAGTAGTTTGTTTCTAGGAATCTGTTCTTAATTTATTGTCGATATACCTGTGTAAAGATAGTTTGTGGGCTATTATCCTTTTTGTTGCCATTTGTGTTTATACCGTACCCCCCCCCCCCCCTCAAAATATGGACTTTATTCCTCCACAGATATCCACTGAGCTCGTCATTCACACTCATGTGCCATTGTATTTTCACTTGTTGTCCCCTTGTGTGAAGTGCTACTGTTTAAAACGAATGAAAAGGCGACAACGCACTACACCAATGGCTTGAAAGAAATCTATTTTTTTTAAGTAAAGAGCAAAGAAGTGTCATTGAAGTGTGACAAAAGTGGACTATTTTTTTGTTACTAAAATACTTTGCAAACCTGGTCGTAAAAGTGCCGCATAATCGAAAATATGAAGGTTTTTGTGTTTCTTAATTTGTCAGTGGGTTTTGTTGCATTGGAGTTGTGTCTAGTTTACAACATCGACATCGTGTTCTTGAAAGTTTCAATAAAATATTGAAATGCAGTTTCTTAGTGTGTGTCCCTGGCTTCATCCAAGATATAGGTTGGCTCGAATTAGGACATTGTTACCTTGACAGATTTTAAAGTGAGCTGAACTATTGAGAGCGACTTGAGGTTCTGCTCGCTTTTTGAAGATGAGGGGTGTCTGTCTGCCCACTTACTCTGCTTCAATTCGTGGAGGTATATCCTTCCAGCCACTGATCAAAGAGCCCAATTAAGATAACGTAGGATGACCATCTAAACTCCATGCTGAAACCTGCATGGGGTTCTTACCTGGACCAGAAGACGCAGACTAGAATTTAGCCTTTTATACTGATCTCACTAGCGTCAGTTGCCAAACAGGACCCCTATCATGGAATGTGACTTAAAGCTGGTGGGGTTTTTATTGTGAAAGTTCGGTTTTAAATTTATTTAGAAATGATAAAGGGGAATCACGTGAGGCAAGCGGGCCAATTATTTCTTTTGGGGTGATATTTTTTTAAGCCATTTGAATTGGAGGCCACCCAAAAGTGATTCACTCCTGCACTGTGACGAACGAGGGGATTCGGATGAACCTGATGCTGCTGCTGCTGGTTCTGCAGAGGAAGTGTGGCTCTGAAAATACTATGACGTCCCTTGATTACCCTTTGTATTGCACATGGAGTCGCGAGTTTATCAACACCATATCTTTACTTGTATATTATCTGGTTAATGTGTAGCAAGACTGGCGCTAGTGAATAGGAGTAAACATGACACAAGCTGTCTCAATAGGTCTGTCTTATTGCTCACCTGGCGCCTTTCATGGCATATCTTCCATTTTATTGCACGGAAGGCGACAATGCGTCTGTAATCGTACCAAGATAGGACGCCCCCAAGCGGCTACAGCGCGGCTTTATTAACAGCACAGCAAAAACACACCAAAGGGTAAACCCTGGGTGAGAGCTCACTGAAGGATAAGATTTACTGATTCGGTCAAAGGACTACTGTAAATTCTCTTAGTGTGCTGAGCTTAATAACGAATGAAGAATTGCGCAATGAAGCTGCTCCAAATTACACAATGCAATCCGACACTTAAAAACAGCCTGAAAACGTATGTAAATTAGAATCAGTAAGGTTGGTAAACATCCATGTGTGTTTAATAATCTGATGCCAGAAGGCAGACCACGTAGAAGAAGAAACTCAGTGACACTAGTGTGTCGAGCATGTGCCCATTGCGCTTCAGTTATAGCTGCCAATGCCATATATTTTTCAATGTACAAGCCACCTATTATAAAATATTGAAAAGGGAAATCAAAAGAGTAGACGTGAAGGTCTAAACCTTCTATTATGAAATGGAAGGGTTCTTTGGCGCAGATTATTTCTTTTGTTGGACAGACTAGTTGAGGTGTCACAGTTTGGAGCTTGTTCTCCTCCAGCCAGTAGGCCAGACCTGTCACTTTAAATAAAATGTTAAACTTTTAAAATCCAAAACCTACAACCCCAGTTTATGGCAACTTAGGCGGCAGTCTAACAGGTTGTATTTAGTCCAGCGCATTGCGCGGGGCAATTGCGCCATCTACTGGCAGCTAATTGTGAAAGGGGAAAACTTAGTGGTCTCGTTTCTCTTGTAAACTTAAAGGACTCCCGTTACTGATGTGAAATCTGACTGGGTAAGTTATCTTTTCTGGTATTTATCCAGTGAAAATGGACAAAGTGATGATCTAATCCAGACACTGTGGAAGTGGGGAAAACGCAAATTAGAAAAAGTGTAACAAAAGGTGCAAAAGTAAACAGCAGCTCAGAATATACAGTGGTTAAAATGTACTACATCACTTGATAACGGTCAGTGTGTTAGTATACAGCAGAGTGCACGACAGTCTTGTTTAAAAGAAATCACTCTTTTTGCAACTCTCACATAAAAAACGGACTGGTTGAATGAAGTTAATAGCCGAGTGTAAATTTCCATCTAACCTTCATGTTGTAGGTGTTTTCTGCATCATCAAGTTGCATTCCAAGAATATGTCTGGACATGATATCAGACGTTGTTCAGTACAAATTATATTGAGGAGAGTGGGCGTGGCTAAAGGGAAATGTCAACTCCCTGCTTTTGATCTGCTGTAAATACTTTTTTTTCAGGTTTTTGGATAATGAATTTGAGTCAAAGGTTTCTGCAGGGAGGATAAATACTTAGACACAGAAACGTAGGTTGTAAACTCAGTGTAGGCACATTAAAGAAAGTCTTCTCTATACACACATACTGTATGTGTTGAATAGTCAGTGTCTGCTATAAAGCGACATAACTGCTTCCCTCATGCATTTATATGACATTATTGCAAGTCATTAACTTTGTGGTTGCTCTCTCCCTGTACCCTTATGCAGGTGTCCCTGATTCCGGAGCTGTGTTACTAATGAGCAGTTATGGGCTCCCCTATCCTGCCTGTTTGCTCATTTGTTTGTTTGTTGTGCCTTGATGCTTTTCTTTTCTCCTTCCTCTACACACTCACTCCAACCGGTTGAGAAAAACAGCCATCCATCAAGAGCCCATTTCCGTCAGCTCTTTCTTCCATTAGGAGTTTTTCCTCCCCAATGTCACCAAGTGCTTGGTCAAGTGGGATTTGTTGGGATTTTCTCTACAATACTACAAGGTCTTGATCTGACTGCATAAAATGCCTTGAGCTGATTTTTGCTGTGATTTGCTACTATTCCGATATAATAAATGGAACTGAACTGAATAGTGCAGTGCAGCCAGTGACTAAGACTATTTTGATCTTTCCATATTGGAATGAGAGTTGCAATATTAAGATTATTATTTCATGGGTTAAATACTATATAGGTGTGTCAGTCGTCTTTTAAGAGCACCAGTTTCAGAAATGTATTGCTCTCAACATAAACCTATTGATAATTTGTCAAGAACGTATTCGTATTCTTTCCATGCACACCTATGTGTATACCTGTATAACCCTGACAAGTAAACATAAGAATTAACACACACTTCATTTTGAAAAATGGCGAACACAATTAATGATAGAACTGATTTACTATAAACAATATTTACAACACACACAAACAAGTGATGGTTACACAAACACCAAACTATGTTACTATAGTGTGCAACCCAAGTCTCCTAATGCTGAATATCATTCATACAGATACTGTTTGGCTGTACCTTACAAGACTCAAATTAATTAGAAACCACCAGGGTTATACACAGACCTCCAAAGGATAAGCAGCTAATGGATGAATGAACTCTTAGGTAATTTTGTCTGAAGTGTTTCAAGATGAAACCAGTGATTTCTGCTATTATCTGCCTCCTTTAATGACCGCCATCTCAATAGTTCCAAGTACAGCACCATCTCTGTGTACCAGCACCACTCTCATGAAGCTCAAAAGTGCTAGGAGAAACGTCTGTGGCCCAGATTCTACATTGTATGCCATGCTATTAAAAAGGAAAGCTCATGCAGATGTATCGACCAAGAGGCTAAGCTACATAGGCAGCCAGATCAAGAGCGATCACATTTTGATAAAAGGTTTTCTTTAGGCTATAAGTGCACTTTCTGTTTCAGTCTGCTTTGTCTACTGGTGGAAAGCTATATGAATCCTTTTCACTGCCATGGCAGATTGTCTTTTTACGATGAGGCAGTGTACTCTAGTGTCCAAACAGCAGTACTACAAAGAAATAAATACATCTGTACACAAGTTTTTCTTTCAGCAGCTAAACTCTAGAGAAGGTCAGATTTTTATTTGTCTGTATCTGAACAAAATTAACACTAGATGCACTGGTGCCTAAATTATATTATTACCTTTAGCTTTTTCCCTCATTACTGCTTCACTTCAGTCATTTCACTTTACAAAGGGCAGTGAAACAAGTTCATGTGCAGTTGTAGTGACAGGCAGTGATGCAATGTGTAATTGATACATTCATATTATTATAATAAAATAATCAAACTAATGCATGCAAATCCCATTACCAAGCTTTATAGGCCTATTTAACAAAAAAAATGTTAAATTCACATAAACCTGTTTACTGACACAAAGAGACATTAACATTTCATCAGTATTGTACTGTAATTTGTAAGTGACCTGACACTGAATCTTCAGAGCACATCAACCTTACACTTGTTTGTTTTGATATGCTCTTTCCAAAACATAAAAAAAAATGACATCTAGAACAATAGTGCAGAATCATAATTGAGACATTGAGCTAGGACTAAAACACCACGCAGATGATAATGAAGCTTGGGGGTTTCAGAGAAGTTGTGAAGTGAAAGCATGATGTCTAGCTGCCTTATTGTATATTTTAAAGGAACAAGCCCAGGAGGAGTAAATCTGACTTTGGTGTTGAGAGAAGGTGCAGCTCAAAATATCACCTCTTAGGATAAAGTTACATTGTTCTGAGGCATTTAAAGCTCAATGACACGTCTACCTGTCAGTCACTGACATTCTCCAGTTCCATTGTTGTCAGCCCTAATACGACTCTATCACAATGCGCTGCCCTACAGCTGTCGAGGTGCGTTACAGCTTGTTCAGGGACATGATAGTACATGAATCGGTGTCTCATATCATATTACAAAATGCAAAGGGTATCTTTTTTTCAGCTGTGCCACATATCATGTAATTTATACTTAAAATCAGAATCCGATGCAGTCTGTCCACAATTTATTTCATGCTTCAGTCCAAGGTCTTTTTGTTTACAGCAGTAAAACATAGGCTACTCCTCATCAGGTTTTTCATGTTTATGCAATGTTCTTTAGAATTTTTGTCATTTTGATTGCCCACACTGTAAATCTGCTACGTTGATGTATTCTGTACATGTGACATCTATTGCACATCTGTCCACGCCCTTTTGCTCTTCCTGAAGTTTTTATTTTTATTATTTTTACTTTTGTCTTTTCTTCATTAACCTCTAGAGTCCCTGCGTCCTCATTGAGCTACATTTGATGCATCCTGTTATGCAATTGATGCACATTTGTCTCATTTACAGCAGTTATGTTCGTGGGTCCTTTTTTGATATAAGGACAGGGGATGTCATACAGTCAAAATGTATTGCTGTGAAGTGTCAAAGTTAAAAAATAGCAAAAGCCTGCCCACCACTCATTTGATCAATGAACACTTAATATAAAGAAATGCCCATGTACTGTATTTGCATGCTTGTTATGAAGATTTCATAAACATATACACTGTATATAGACATATGCAAATAAATATGAACACAACACAACCACATCCTGACCTATAGCCTATTGTAGATTGTGAAAAGATGCACAGTATTCTTCAGGAGGTTTTTCAGTGGATCTTTATGTAATTAGGAGAGTTTTCCAAGTTCCAAAATGGCCCCTTCTCACATCTATCATTTCTGTTTTGTGCTGATTTTGATAAGGAAAACATTTTCTCAGATAAGTCTGGCAGTTGTAGAGATACTTCCTGCCCTGTTCTCTCACCACTTGCAGAAAGCATGCAACAGAAGCACTGAACCAATGAAGATGAAAAGACCTTCTCAGAACTTCTCAGCTATCTAGATACCATATCTTTCAGATCTTTCTAAAAATCCTTTGAATAAAATCCATAGTAAAAATCATTAGCCATCAAGTTAAAGGCTAAGGTCGGCCATTTTCTGTTTTTACCATTCTCCACAAATCCCACACAAAGACTAAAACCCACAATGAAATTTGTGTACTTGCTGTAATGTCTGTGAATCTTATCCTTTAACATCAAAAGTGTCCATCAAGAAATACAGTGGAGTATGTATGCCTAACATCTGGAAACCCTAAAAGATGCCATTCCAAATACATAAGAAGCTCAGGCTACATGTGGGGTATGTCGTGTAAGGCATAATACATTGTTTGCACATACAAAACCACTGTTACTCTGTTGTCTTACATTAAATGGGTTCTTTACATGCTTTTCACTCATTTGTGTTTCTTAAATAGCAGCCACAGAATCCCTCCTTCTAAGAGAAGGCATTTAATCTCTACCATCAGCTGGAAGTTTGAATGAGCTGTGGGGAACAGGAGAGGACAGCTAACTCTCGCTTCGCCGGCCTAATAGTCTCCACCATCAGCGGCACTTCATACACAACCACTGGTTGGCAGATTAGAAGGAAAGCTCACCTCAAACACAAATGCACGCACCAGTACACATGCTAGTGGAGTCAAACTCTTAAATACATGTGTTCAAAGCATGCTGAGGAAATGCACAAATATATACAAACACATTCACGTATGACGCCCTTCTCATGGGTAATTCACACGCTTTCCTTATGTTGATTGTAGTTGGGTTTATGACTGCAGGTTTGTTAGCACCACAGACACTCTCTTTGTAAACTGATATTATATTTCCTGGATCTCTTTCTTCTAAAAGAGCCTTCTGGTTATATTAAAACACACTCATTCATCATTCATCTTCAGTTAGTACAAAAGGAAAATGCACATCCTCTTCAAGTAGTAAAATCAAAGGTTATGCATAGTAGCACTTGCAATATGAACATACGCTTTAACCACATTTCTCTGCGTATAACAGTGCAATGAATCAAAAAAATCCTGAACCTGATTGGTTATGTGTAGGTACAAAGACCTAACAGAGAGGGAGCCAAACTCTAACAACTGTGAAGGCAGAGGGGCATTGCACCCTAAACCATGCTGGGTCCAAATCACAGCCAGGTTTTCTTTTTGATTTCTGACTTTGTTAACATCTGTTCAGGGACTACAGATGAAAAATGCCCTCTTGGATGATTCTGCCACTATTACAGCAATGTTAATTATCCAATACTCAGCATCCTACAACATTGTGGCTAGGGTGGATCATCATCAACACTCGCTCTTTAACATTGCCTCCGTCATCCAACCACTTCACTAGTCTTACTACGCTGAACCATCCCATAACTGTTGTGCATTTTGAGCTTGCTTGTTCCTCATCCTAGATTTTTGTTCTGCATGGCAATCAAGCTTCGTCAATATAATACAATCATTAATATTTCAAAAAAATACAATATATCTACTGAATTTTCATCCAAAGGAAGCAGTAAACTGTCTGCTTGTTTAGTGTTGATACATGCAACTGGCTCAACGTTGCTCTTTGCTTTAACTTTCTCCAACTGAGTATAGGACCTTTTTCTACTTTCTCTTTCTGCTCTTTTGTTTCTCTTGCTCTTGGTACCTTCTTTTATTCTTTTGTTCTGACCAGGCATTTTCTAGTCACCGTTGTACTGCCAAGGCCAATTATATTTTCTTGGGTGTGTCATTTCCAACAATGATTCTCTGGATTATAATCCATTAGACTTTACTTTTGCTTATGCACAAAACACTAAGTGAGGCACATGTTTAAGGCTGAAATCACCAGCAAAACTGAAATACAACCAGCAAACACACAATGCACAAACAGACCTCTAACAATTCACATGCACGACACTGCCATCAGCAAAGTGCATTTACAGTCCTGCCAACTGTTAACTCAAAAGAAACACAGATGACTCCCTCAAATAAAGCCTGAAGCATCACATACTTTCTGACTGGTTAATAGCATGCTACAACTTCAGAAACTACCTCTACTAAAACTGGCAGTGAGCCCCTTTCAATAAGCTTCATAACACCACCAGTGCCTTATCTAGTTCTTGTTCCATAGTGCAGCCAAATATCACAGAAAACCTCTCAGATAAATTGCCTGTATATATGCATAGTTGTCTGTCTCTATATGTAAGGCCTGTGACAGGCTGGGTGCACCAATAGCTGACATTACACTCAGAGCCACATGTCCACCTCATGATGGTATTATAGGAAAGGTTTTGGAAATTATCAAAAAAATATCATCCTCTGAACACCACAGATATTTGTACTAAATTTCATGATAGTTATTAAGATACTTGAGTCAGGATCCCGTGGTGGACAGGCCGACACTGTCATCCACAAAGCATACTGATTAATAAACAATAAGATAGTGTTGTATTTGATACTGATTTCAATATTTTACCTTCAAGTTGAGCAGACTTTATACCAGCAGTGTCAACTTCCAAATCCTCAGTGTTGCAGTGTTGGCCTCTTCCCCACTGGAAACTGGGCCGAGCTGCAAGTCAGAAGTGATTGTTCTCCATCACTAAGTTAATTTCAAGTTGAATAGGTGTCACACAAATCTATCCATAAACACATTAAGTGACATAGTGTAGCTTGGCTCAAGTTTTATACACACTGAAACTCAGTTTTCCCTGTTGTAAAATATTTTCCCACCCAGATGGACCTAGTGATCACTTGAAGCCTGAAGAATTAGCTAATTTTGAAAACCACCGCAGTAAATTAAAATGTATAATAGGCTAAGATGAAGCTGTGTAAATGCTGTTTGGTGTTTTTATTTTTGATGTTTGTTTCATTCCAACAATTTACCTGCAGCAGATGTGTAGCTGATCAAGTCTTGACACAGTCTTAAGGTTTTCATGACTTGGACTAGCTACATATTTACTGCAAAGAAGAAGCAAAAGTCTCCCTCCAAAAACAGTTATAACACAGCCAAACAATCCTATATTCAGCTATGCCCTGTGTAGTAAGTACACTTTCTGCACAAAACAACAAATCCAACCTGCCTTTGCCACCATTGCATGCTCCACTCAGTTAACCAAACCTCCACCACCTGCATTTTCACAAACCCATAGCCCCTCCTACTACAGGAAACACCATTTAATAAGTCAGTTAGGCCATGTAATCTATGTATCAGTTCCTATAAATACATACATGTGTTAATTTAATAATAAATAAATCTCAGTAAATGTTTTCAACATATTAAATTAACCCTCAAAAGCTGCAATTATCTTAAAAGACATCACAACCCCCCTCTACATAGCCAGCACTTGGTACATTCCCCAGGAACACCTTCACACAAAAGGAAGTGAGACACTTTATTCTGCCCTATAAATTTGTGTTATCCAGCAAAGATAAAGAACTTTCCTTTAAAATTTTACGTACATTTTACCAGTTCAACTCAATTATTTGTAAATACATTTACACACAAACAGAAGAAAAATGTTCCTTTTGCAACAATGAGCTCATTATCTATTTTGTTTCACGTTGTCCTGCCTGTTTTTTCTTTTCTGCTTTATATTAACTTAAGTTATTTGATGTATTATGCCTACTTTTGTTTATTTGATGCATCCTGTTATGCAATTGATGCAGCTGTTTGTATTGAATTGTGCTTCTATTAAGTTCATTTCTACATATCAAATATTTGTCTCATTTACAGCAGTTATGTTCGTGGGTCAATTTGACCCGCAACATAACAGGAGGGTTAAATAAAAAAAGGCCCTGAGTCAGGTTGGCAGGACATGAGTCCACAACTGGCTGAGCTGGTTAAACAAAAATGATAAGTTCTTTCTGAATATGAACCAAGAGAAAGCAAACACTGGAATGCAGTCAGCCTCTTCTTCTTCTTCCTTGAGGTCATACAGCAGCTGGCATCCTTGTAGCTGCATTGCAGCCACATTCTGGTCTTATTTCAATGCCTTGTCACACTTCAGAGTACTTTTTGTTCTTGACAGCCCTAATTTCTCTTACTGCATACTGAATTAGGCTACTTGCATGTCATAAGCACATATGTATACTCTACAATGTTCACAAAAGCCAGTTAAATGGGACTTTAAGATGGATCCTAGTACTGTTGCCGCTCTTGGATCGTTTCCTCTCCACACTATGCTGTTCTCTGTCTTTCAAAGTTCATGTCCACATTTCTTTTCAAATGTGCCTTACAATGTCCATGACTTCACTGATTCTCCTTAATGATAAAAAACAGTACTACGCAGCTATATATTGCTCAGTGTATTGGTTATCCATTGCTTTTATCTACAGGGTTTTTCATCTCTTTAATGGGTCTGAATGTAATTTCCCAGGATCCAGTGCCATTCCTGGACATACCAGAGATGCAAAATGAGGCAAAGGAAATACCTAATACATAATTTCTGGATTTGACAGAGTCACGATGTAGTGCATTTAAACACGTCAGAGTTGAAGATGCTTTGACCTCACTGAAGTGAGACATGATGGCCCACAGGCCCCCAGGGTCTCTGAATGTGGCTGTGGCTGGAGCAGACCACACCACTCGATTCCTGGGTGGCTGTGTCTGTGCCATAATTTCATGTAATTATTTCAATCAAAATGAAATAAAAAAAATAATATATGCATATACTGTACATATATAAAACATACACATAAAACAGGTAGTGTTTTTTTTTAAAGGTGCAATACTTACCTATGATAAAACAGAAACAATGCAGCATACATAGTCTACAGATGCATTATAGAACACTACAGTTCTCCATTATAATACTGTCATAATAAACTATAGAAATGCCTGTATCAGCACAAATAACCTCAAATCTGAATCAGCACTTCAAACATAACAGCAGTGTTATAGTTTCACTATTAGGTTATTAGATGAATTTTATATTTTATCAACTCTTTCTAAAAATGCATGGATGTTGAAAAATATTGAATTACAAAAGGTATTTAAAATTCTAGTTTATGGTTTTGTGTAGAATATTAGCTTTTTTGTACTGGATTATTTTATTGTGCTGTTTTAATTATCTGTAAATTGCTTCTAGCTTGACCAGGACACTCATAAACTCAAACTTACCAAACTAAAAATAAAATACATTTTGATTGTGTGTTGGTCTCTGCGGTGGGAGGTCATATTAAAAAGCTCAGCAGAGGGCAGCAGAGTACATGGCATGCCCTTAGAATACCCATCAACAGTAGGTATGTGTTTCACTTAAATAACTAGCCAACATGTCCCCATGAACTAGATCCAGATGTGTTGGAGCTGGATTACTTTTAATTACTTAATTCCAAAATATGATCTTACAGTAGAGCAGTCCTGACCAGTCATGATTAGACTGACTTCAAATGATACATTTTTCTCACTTCTTATTTGTTCAAGAAAATAAAATTCCATGGATAATTTGGTTTCTCTAAACCATTAATACTAACAACTAAAGTCTACTCCATGGCTGCATAGTTCCACCAAAACTTTGTGGGGGGAGAAGGATGATTATGGAGGTATCCCAGGGAAACGGGGGGTGGGGGGTCAATCAGGAAGTTGGAATGTGGGTCCTTGTGTGTGATGTGATTGTTAGCAGAAACGTGTCAGCCCCAAGCCCACCGCCACTGACCCACCGCCACCACCACCCCTGAACCCACAGCCCTGTTCAGGTTGTGAAAGTACAGCTCTGTACATGAATATGTGTGTGTCTTCATACACACAATAAACCTCTTAGCCCTGCGTTGCCATGGAGGCCCAGATACCTTATCATTGCCTTTTCCAGTGGAACAAGGGTAAACTCGCTCACGAGGTCGAGGGTGAGGGTGGAGGGTATAAAAAGACAGCCAGAGATTCTAGGTGGAGGGCAGACCACAAGCCCATGTGTGGCCATGGAGGGTGAAACCATACTAGATAAGGAGGGAGTTTATATCTCCCCTTCTTCATACTGAGAAAATGACAGAGAGAGGAGCATGGTGATGGCAGAGTGGGAGTGTGCACACTACTCACTGTACACATTGCTTCCTATAGCCTGCAGAGTTGTCATGGTTTCTAATGTCTAGCTTTTAAAAATACTGCCCCAATGCTCAGTTTTGCATTTCCACTTTCTGAGGTTAAGCCATGTAATGCTGTCTGTTCCTCTGAGAAGGGGTTGTTTTGTGTTATACTGGCTGTTTGGATATATTTTACATTGAGTGTTGGGACATTAAAGTTGCAGTTTATAGGAAAAAATTTTGCTTTTTCTATCATTTAGTAACACTTGTATGTTCATTTGCTGAATGTAGTATCCCTAAAAACTTCATCCATACAAGGATGTGTTATTATATTTGTTTGTTTATGCTTTAAAAGTTGCTCATAACATCCACTCCATGCTTCTGTTAGACCCATGTGTAGCTCAGATGGAATCACATTGGAAACAGGAAAGAACTGAATTTTTATTGCCAAGAGTCTTGAACTGAACCTGAAGTGGCATTAAGTGGGTCTGTTAACATCAGAGTCATACTTATTTGATCAAATTAGTGGTCTTTCACAACGCCAACTGGAAAGGATCTGGCCTAACAGCTTATAATCTCTGCAGCTCTTGTTTTCCTTCTCAAAACTTTTCTATTCTTCATTCCTCTTCTCTGGCTCCTATCCTGGGAAACAAACCATGGATGGGTTTTCAGCCACAAACCTCACAACTGGTCTTTGGTATAAAGCATCTGGGCGGGTTCTGCACTCTGATCCAGGAGTTCTGGCTGGACTGGTGGTTAGCCACAGCGGTGCTGTCACCTGCCTGTCTGCTGAAGTCTGGCTAGATTCTGAACAGCTCTAAACAAGCAGTAGCATAAGACCACACATTCAATATCACTGGATGTCCAGGAGGTAGGGAGCATGTATTTAATCCGTTTTTGTGAGTGAACTTACACACAATTCCAGAGCCAAATTCACAATCTCTTCTGTGGTTGTCACCTCAGGTCCTTTTTGGTTTTGTTCACCTTTTTCTCACCTGGTGCTTCAAACTAACAGGTTTGCATTCATTGCTTTGAATTTAATGCTGCAGCTTGACAGTCTGTAACAACCGTGGAACCATTTAGACGCCACAGGTCAGCATACTGTTACTCATTGACTTATGTTTGATGCATTGTATGTCTGTTAGGCTACATTACAATTGCATTGGTCTCAATACTACTGCAGCATGGTCACACAACATGTTTATTTTATATAAATAAACATTGTTTTGTGTGTGTGTGTGTCTCATTACTGTAGCTTCATATTCATCAGTCATGTTGTTTTGCTTTCCCACACCACCCATAGTTCCGCTTACTACATATAATTTGATCTTGCCACACTTTGGCTATAAAATACTTTTCACATCGCTCAGCTGTTCAAAGTAGAACAGTGTATTTGTACGTCAATAATGTAAAATCACTTTTTCACTCTTGTTTATGCTGAGAATTGTGTCTGTTCTGTGTGTGGAATTCTTATTTTATTAATACTGTGCACTGTTTCAGGGTAGTACATCTGAATTTCATTGTATATACTACGCAGTGACAATAAAGGTATCTTATCTTATCTTTAAAATCCTGGAGGCTGTCACTATTTTTTAAGAGTAAAAATAAAGGTACTTCTCAAAGTTTGTGAGAGGGCTGCTATGTATGCATGTGTGCAGTTTAAAATTGTGTTGCTGTAATGTCATTTTCCACAGGACACATGGAGCAAATGATTTGTTTTAATTTGATTTAATTTGCAGTTTGACTTTACACTTTAGAAAAAAGGACATGTTTTAATGGAAAACACATTTTATTGAGCAGCACTGACATTTATTTGTTTAATAGTTTACAAAGCCTTGGCTTTCTTCATGTGATCTCAATCACAAACTGACCAAAGGTGTGTAAAATGATTTGTTTGTGATATGCAAATACTGTAAAACTGTTGCTGGTTTTCTCAGCTCATCTAAATGCACACTGATGTGAAACTAGAAGCTCTACTTCCAAGGTCTAGTTACTGGCGTTTAATTACCTTTCAATGTACATAACTTATTTTATTAGTATTAAATGTGACTTTCAAAAAGCACTTTGTGATGAAAGGTTTTAATATCTGGGTTTATTAATCATCCATGAGACTTCATTACCTGAACTTTAACCCAGCCAACACAAGGCTGAATTCTTTTAGGCCACTTCTGTAATTAGGCACATTGTTCTTGAACAGTCGTTAGTATTTCTATTTATTGTGAAGCTTGTAGACGTAAAGCAGGATATACTGTCTATACAAAATTATTTATGTATTTTGCATTTTGAACTAATGTGCGTGTTGGTAATCTCCAGTCTTATATGGTTAAAATGATGTCACCGAGGACATTTTGGTGCGTTTCTTTTAAACATTTCAGAATTAGTTCCGTTTGATTCAGCTGCCAAAATTACAGAATTTAGCCGCATTAATTCTCCTTTAATAAAACTTTTGTCCAGCTGTTTTTCCTAAATCTCGTTGGTATGACGCACGTTTGACGCCTCTCTTATTGGAGGTTCATTAGTCTAAGTGAAGCTTGTATGCTGCCAATTTACATCGACGTCATTTGTGTGTGAGGGATTTTAACTGTTTAAAATGCTCAAAATAATGTTTTTGCTAGTGGCCCTTCTCTCTTTAATGCCTAGAGTTTATATTTAGAGAAATATATTCAGTTTTCTTTTCTTTTCTTTTGGCACTTTGCGGTTTAATTTGTTATTCGTTCACCTAAAATGCGTGTAGACAAAAGGCCTTTGTAATAAAACTGTTTTGTGGAAATCAGTTTGGATGAATCTTACACATTAGAATAAGGAGCTTTGTTGACATGAGCTGAACCTAATATCTGGTTAAGGCATTTAGTTTCCATTGGCGCAAACTACACATTATCATAAACGTATGATGTGACAACCTCTTTTGTCTTGCGTCTGTCCTGGTTTCTACTTGTCTTGAAATGCAGTTTGTCCCTTCGTCTGTCTGTATTATCAGTATAGCACATTGTTCAGTTTTATTTAACCTGGGTAGCCTATTACGCAGCCTGGACTAGGTTTTAGGCATAATATTCTAGTCATACTGTCCCTGTGAAAACATCAGTGCAATAGAAGAGGGCTCTGAGGCCTTCTCCACCTTCTCCAGGTTCTGCAAACCCTACGTTTTATCTGTTATTACAGTAATGTAGAGGCGTGCCATTGGGAAGTCCTTCAAACCTCTGTCATACGCGTGTGTGTGCGTGTGTGTGTGTGTGTGTGTACAACAGAATAACAAAGTTTTCCTTATGAACTCAGCACATTATTTCAAACTCTGGAAAATGTTGTGAGTCTTATTTTGGAGCTTCTATTAGTTTCGTTGTCTTTCAGCTTGTTTACTAAGAGGCAAACAGTTCATCATACAATGTAACACAGGCAGAAGCTTCGGCCCAGAAAGACATTTTCCTTATTTGAATTTTTGACAGTATTAGTTACAATCTCTGGTCAAAATAAAATGTGCCTACGTTTTCCAGGAAAAGGCTGTTGGACAAAAGCTAAAAGATTCTCGCCTCTTAAGAAAGTCCACGGATCAAAATGATTTGAACAATTAAAGAATACGTAATTTTAACTGCTTTCAATTCTTGTTCTTAACAGTAAATGTGTTATTCGTTTATCGTTGCTCTAGTTTTTTTTTCTTTTGCTTAGTCTAAAACAAAAATGATATCTTTATAGTGATGTTTACTATCCCCGTCTTCATGGAGATAGTGGCTCTATTTGTGCGCCTGCGTAATGAGATAACTGGCTAAACTGCAAATGAGACATTTTAGGACACACACTGCAAAACTGACAACTTTGGCTAAATGTTGTCTTACTGCTACATGGACTGTCCTGGGTTCAGTTTGGGTTCAGACTAGCGTATCCATTTCCGATCTACTTGCCTCTTTTAATCCCATTCTTTGCGCCATGAAAGCTGTTCTGCACCGTGTTCAGTGGTGGAAATAAATAAGGGGATAGTACAAAGAACATTAATAACCATCAGAGTCACACTGCTTGAACAAATGGTTCATCAACCGTTAATGTTAATAGTCAATAACAGAACTACAGGCAAAACATATGCTCCATTAATGAATCGCCATCATTTTGTTAGTCATAAGCAGAGGCAGCTTGTGGACATACAGCATCTAATTATGCACCTATCAATTAGATAGAATGTGTTTATTTCTACATTTTGCTGGAGGCTCAGACTGGAGATGAAGAGGTTGCGCCTAATGGTGCGAGAAGCAGCAGATATCAAATGGATTCCTTCTTCCGGGGATTATGGAAAGGTTTGGAGCGGAACATTCTGAAGACCTGGGGTGGGGACCTGGAAGGAATTATAATTTGGGGTATTTATATACCAGTGCAATTCCTGCACAGGCTGTCCCCCACACCTCCCCACCCCCCAGCCTCGGCTTCCGCTTAGCACTGTTGGTCACTGATGCGCAGTGGTGGGTTGGAAAGGGAGCGCGCGAGAGAGAAGGAAGAAGTAGAATTGACAAGACACAAACTGGGGGAGAAAGGAGGAAAGAAGGGGGTGACGGACCTGCTCCTCTGGATCTCGGCTCCAGCCTACTAGGTGCTAGCACCGGGCACTGCTCACAAAACGGTCTTCAGCTTTAAAATGCACAATAAAGCACCGAAGAGACCCTTATAGCTGCCACCGATCTCCACGATCGCGACCCCCCTTGCAGGAGACCTGGACTAACTGTGTGTGTGAGAGAGAGAGAGAGAGAGAGAGAGAGAGAGAGAGAGAGAGAGAGAGAGAGCAGAAGGATTCATTGAGGTTTTGTGCAGCTTCGTCGAGGAACGCGTCTGGATTATCAGATTTAGGACGGGGCACTGCACATCTAAAGTACGAGACCGCTTTTCTCTGTTGTGCTGCGACCTGTTTTTGTTTTTAGGTAAGCTGACCCTGCTCTGACTCGGCTACATGCACTTAATACAATCTATAACGGTATTACCCTGGTAGT